TTTTGAATTACTGTATATCCAGAAATTTCGAATTAAATCAAGCATTTCGAATGATTTCAAGAATTTTCGAAGTAAACTTATTCAGATCTGGAGATTTCATTTCGATTAAAATATTTTAATCCGTGCAATTTTGGTGTCCGTGATGCTGAATGTGACGGTTCCTTCTTAATTTTGATTGTTGAGCAATCCGTTGTTGAGGCCAGCAAACTTGCAGAAAATCTTCTGAAAATGATCAGAGGTGTTTTTCGAGTCTCGTCATTGATCCAGAGTACAGTAGTTTGAAAAGGTTTGTCCCAGAAAATACTGTGCCCAGATAACTACAAGTTACTTCACCGACAAATATTTTGAAGCATTCATCGCACCGCCAGTAATTATTTTCAAAACTTATTGAAAACTAGATTTTATACCGTAGAACCTCTATACAACAAGGCATTTGGGACTTTAAAAATGGCTTTGTTATAAAAATGCATTAAAACAAATTTAAAATAATGTAGCATTTTTGCTATTGAACAAGGATAAAAAACAAATTCATTGTGAAGCACATAACTCGTTATACCGATCTTCGTTTTTACGAGATTAAACTGTATTAGTCTCTAGCAACTTTCGTTTCCTCGGAAATTTATTTTGAGGAACATATGAGCATTTAGCTGTGCATGTATACGGTATTTGATGACTTTATAGATGTTCGATCTCAAGCGGCATAATGTGAAGGCCAACCGTTTTGTTTTCTAGACAGTCGCAGTCTTGAAAGTTACGAATAAAATTTTGCTGAATAGCTAGCTATGCGAAATAAAAAAGCAAGACTCCCCATGGCATTTGGCAGTTGAACCATGATTGCATGTTCTGCCGTGCTGGCCACACGGAAAGGCAGCTCAGGCGACCTGTGATTTCTCCGCATGAAGGATGAATTCTTGGCAGTATTAGGGGGAGGGGTTTTCCCCGCGGTCAGGTCAGTTTTCCTCCAAGGTATTATACGCGGGGAGAAAACGATCGAGGAAATTAGGGGGCTTTTCTCCGTCGTCCCGTGTTAGTTTTTCCTCGGCGTAGCCAATGGGCATGTTATTTGAGCCCGGTGATTTATGGGAGTGCCCGGAAAGACTGGTGTCGAAGCGCAGTGTCGACTTTCAGACCAACCACGAAGCCGCCATTGGGGGACTGGCTCCTGCTCTGATCAGAAGCTTTGATCGTAAATTCTTTCTTGTACAGTACCAAAAAAAAAAGAACGTAAATTGATTTAGAATGTCGTACTTGATTCTTAAATCCTCCCTCGAGGTACATTTTTTCTCACTTCTTCTCTCCATTCTTCAATAATGTAACTTCATAGTTCCGCGGATCAGGTGGTGACTTATGAAGCATAACTTTTCTTGAACCCATCAGAATTAATTTGGAGAAGTACTGTATAACTGTTTTTTCTTTGTTGGAAACACAAATATACAATAAAAAAATTAAATTTGCGGAAGAACGACTATTTGTTTAAAATCCATGTGTGTAAGGCTTGGTTTTATAAATTGGTACTGAATTTGTTGATGCATGTTCATGAGTTCGCTAAGGTTTTGTATGCCTGCTCAATTGTGTAAAAACGGTCCTTGTTCGTGCTCATTTTGTACACTCCCGCTTGTGATGAGCCTATCATACTAGCTTGGTTAGGGTACTGTAAAACCCTCGAGCTTCTCGATGATATTTATATGCCTGCTCAATTGTGTAAAAACGGTCCTTGTTCGTGCTCATTTTGTACACTCCCGCTTGTGATGAGCCTATCATACTAGCTTGGTTAGGGTACTGTAAAACCCTCGAGCTTCTCGATGATATTTCTCTGATTTTTAATTTGTCTTCTGGATCCAACTTGTGAAAACATCATCAGCTGAGTTCATGTTTGTTTAAGAATGATAGCAATGTCTTTCTCTTGATAAAATATTCCCGGAAATGCCAGGACTTCCTCTGTATATAAAAAAAAAGATTAAAATCTGAAAATCCACCAGTGCCTTTCTGCGGAACCGAAAAAATCATAAACGCAAAATAAATTGTCCCGGAAAAACCATTTTTTGTAGGAAAAGGCTATATTTTTAAAATATCTTAGTAATGAAAATGTGTGTTTCGCCATTCGGTGTAATGTTTAAACCGATTTAGTGGGAGAAGTGGGTAATTTCTGTCGGAAAAATTGCGACATAAATTCAAGTGCCAGCCCAAACAGCACCGTTGTGAATTGTAATAATGCGTCTTGGAAAAGCCAGTTTATTTTCTCCTTTATTTCCGTTTGTTGCGAGCAAAGTCTGGAAGACTGTTACAAAGTAGTAGTGGGGGGTTAGACGATCCGAAAAGGTGATGCCTTCATTATCTCTGTATCTTTATATTTTTAGAAACAAAATTAGTTATTTCACATTTTATTTTTCGTTCTTCTGATGCGTCAAGAACAAGATGTAATTTTTTTTAATCCGTGAGTTGAAATTTTTTAAAATTCATGTTTGAGTAATGATTTTTGTTTCAGGACGTTGTTCAAACCGCTGAACTCTGGCGGAAACTTGGGGACTTGCAGCGAGCTGAGTGCGAGTGGAGAATGGAGAAGGAAACTTTGGAGCAGCAAATCAAGGAGCATCAGCAGCAAGCGGATCGCTTACGAATGCTTCTTACTGACAAAGAAACCCTCATTCAGCGGCTCAACACATCCATTCAAAGCATGGTGAATTTTCAAAATTATTTATTTTTTATTCTTCTACTGTTTTGTTCAATTCGATAAATAGATTATTTCTTCATGCATTCCCCAAGTATATGTGCCCCGAAAGATTTCCATATTTTACGGTTGATTTTACGGGCATATTATGAATAATTATTCGATAGCCGCAAGAAAATTTTTTATTTATTTTATTGATGCAACTTTATTCGAAGTTTTTGGCCCCTTGAAATGCATTCCAGCAGAATATTTTTTTGATCATTTGTACAAAATTTTAAAGTTTGTTGGCTTCGAGTTTTTCACTTTCTGGATCTGCGTTATCCCGTCTCGGAAAAAAAGAAGAATGTGAAATCCCGCCTGAGCTGTTCGAAGTTATGTTGCATTTTGACGAATATTGTCAACTTCATGTGCTCTTACTGCTTTATTTTGTTCCACCATGAAGGAAGAGAATGGAAATCAGCCAGACACTGGATCCAATATGGATTTGGCGGCGATGCGGGACGAAATTCGTATCTTGCAAATAGCGCTTCGCGATATTGCGCAAATGGTCGTAGATGATGCAGACAGAACCGTTCATGAACGCTCACCCTATGAAACGCATCACGTTGCCCTCAGCCAACAGCCGTCTTCTTCAACCGCTGGTGCTGGAACCACTGATGTTACCAATACCCTGCCAGGGTCGCATGTGGACTTCGCAGAAGATGTTACCATCCATAGACCGAGATCCATTTTGTTGCGCAGCAGCAGTTTGCTCAGGAGTCCGAGAAGGTAAGCGTACACTTCATGAGAAAAAAAAAACTATGAAAATTGAGCATATTTTTGCTGGAGGATCTTTTCCCTGAACGATTTATTTAAAAAAAAAGAAACAGACAACTTCAAAGTTTTTTTTTTCGATGTTTTATCTATTTCGTGGCAATTTTTGCTTTAATGCGACCGCCATTTTTATTTTCTCTGCGTCATTCCGTATTCAATAAATTTTATATCTTGTTCTGAATTAACCTGTATTCAAGAAAAATGTTCTGAGTAACTCTTCCCTTTTCAAAATAATAGCTTGCTCCATTTTCTCGACAAATTATAGCATCCATCAAAGATGAGTTTTCTCAATCCTGGAAATTTAATGTGATGAAAATGAATAAGACCTGCTGCTGTAAAGAATGGAGAATACTCAAACATAATTTTTCACGTTCATTCCTCAGTTTTCAGACTGGTGCTTGAGTTCCTCAAGTTCAGAAAAAAAGGCAAAATCAAAAATCAATTGCTGGAAAGCGGGCGGACATTTTTATCTCACCATAAAAAAGTTACCGGTCGCGTCAGTACGGTTTCTTGAGATTTTATGTACACTAGATATTTTAATATTACGACATAAAATAAGTTTTAAAAAGAAGGGAAGAAAACGAAACATCGAGTTTACCTTCTGGAGATATTCCTGTTTTAAAAAGGTCTAATATCTCTTGGCGCTTTCTCCACCCTTAATTTTAGAAATGATTTACGATATGGTCGATGGGGAAAAAAGTATGGAAATGGTTTTAAGCCTGGAATTCACCCTCAGGTCAAATCGCAAGGAGCATTTTACTGGTGAATGCGAGCAGGCCTCATTTTGACACCCCGGTGAATAATGTGTTGAAATAATCGAGCGCGAATATTGCGTACCTCATTAACTCACGAGCGATGGCCTTTGAATGATGCGTAATGTGGTTTCTCTCCTGGACTCGCTTGTTGTGTGGCGTAATCGATAAGCGCGGCCCCTGAGATTTCCTGGGATAGTACGTTCCCTGGGTGCTTGTTAGGCTTTATTCCTTCTGTAAAATTTTCATAAGAAATTCTTTTTTTTGTGTGTGTGGTATAGATCCCCAGGAACAAAAGGAGATATTTTTCCGACTTCTCCGGCATTCGCGGAAGGAACTGTGGCAGCTGTTCAGTCGGCTTTCAACCGTCGACAGTTACAGATACACGACCTGCAGGTGTGATTGAGAAAATAAATTACGTACCATCGTTTCGGTTCGACGAGTGCATTCTTGGATTTGATTTTGTGTAGATAAAATTCGGCTCAACGAAAGAGCAATTGTTGCTGGTTCGGAAACAATGTGAACGAGCTGAAGAAACGGTGCGGGCGATGGAAGGTCAAGTGGATGACCTCAGGTCAGAACTCGCCAAGACGAACCAGATCAAGCTGGAACTGTCAGCTGAACGTGATCGGCTCTCGAATTCCCTCCAAACTGCACTCGAGGACCAGTCGTCGTTGGAAAAAATTCGAGTCACTTTGAATGCTCAAGTTCGTATGAAAATTAGTGTCCAATTTACGCGGGCAGTCACATTTTTCAATACGAAATATACATATTTTTAAAATACATGATCAAATTATTTAGAAGAATTATGTGAATGATTTCCTGTCTTCCACATTTTAAATCTCTGCCCATCAAATTGATTTGACGTTGTGTACGGTAGAAAAGGCAAGCAATCAGCAGTCCATCACCTGATTTCATTCCGGCACACAAAAGAAAGCTCACGAAATTAACCAAAACCTTGCCGTCTCGTCATAAGATTTCAATTTTTAAAAGCACACGTGCCAAAATTCACTTTGCAGAAAATAGTAATCATCACTCTGAATTCAGGCAACACCGAGAAAACGTTTTTCTTTTCTCTATATTATTCATAGAAAAATCCTTCTGCGGAAAATCATGTGAAAGACGGGGAAATTATCCTGAAATTATTCTCGATCATTTTCTGCACTGCCCTAGGTTTTTATCAAATGTGGAGTCTAAATTTTTACAATGGGACTGCGTGCGGAAATCATTTGACACTCTCAACTTTCCGTTGGAAGACTGCAATACAGTATTTTCAACCTCTCAATACTGCGTTCTTTACACAGATTGAAACCTTGAACGAAGAAAACAGCAAGCTTCAAAAGCACAACGCTGAACAGCAACAAACAATTGACAAGTTAGACGAAGAAAATCAGACTATATCGGCCGAAATGCAGCGTGTTCGCTATGATCTCGACGAATCGTAAGACTTTTTCAATTTTTAGTATAAGGATAGTTCTAATATTTTATGAATAAAATTATCAGCACCATGAAGCGAAAATCGCTGGAAGAGCAAGTCAGTGGACTGAAAGAAGAACTGGTGTCGCTTCGAAATGGTTTGGAGAAGTCAACTATAAAGGATAGTTCTAATATTTTATGAATAAAATTATCAGCACCATGAAGCGAAAATCGCTGGAAGAGCAAGTCAGTGGACTGAAAGAAGAACTGGTGTCGCTTCGAAATGGTTTGGAGAAGTCAACTATAAACCGTGATGTTTTAGAACAAGAAAAGGTTGATGTCGAGAACGCTCTCATGCACTCTGATCTCAAAAGAAGTACGTATTTACATTTTTAGATTGCTTTTGTGACATTTAAGCATGTATAATTTCTTTTATAGATCAATTCGAGGTGGAAGTAACGAGGCTAAGAAACGAGCAGGCGGCATTAAGGGACGCGTTGTTGAAATTCCAAACCCTCAATGAAACACTTGTTGAGGAGAAAACCTCCTTAAACGACCAATTGCGGCATGTACGTTTTTCTGAAGAAAAAAAAATCAGATAAATTGTATTTGACAACCCATTATTAATCCTTGAAATGGCAGGTTGAACAAGAAAGAAATGCGATTCAAGCTGAGAAGAATGAACTTAATCAAGAATTACACGCGTTAAAGGAAGAGCATTTGATACTGGAGCAGCTCAAACTTGAGTTGGAAAGTGCTCGTCTAAGCGTTGACGAACAGATCAACGTTCTTACAATTGATAAAGAAAAGGTAAGAAAGAAAATCATGTCCACGCAACCGTTTTATTTAATCTTTGTCCTTCTTGTCAGTTGGAATCCTTCATTCAAGAAGGAAATCGCGAGAAGCAAGACATGCAAATGGAATTTACTGCCATTCTAAAGCAGAAAAATTCTTTCGCCGAGGAATTATTGCTATCAAAACGAGAAATCGAACGAATAACGTCTATCCTCGACCAAGTGAATGTCGAAAGAGAAGAACTCTCGAAGGAAAAGTCTGATTATATCGTGAGTTATTTTCGTTGTTTTTTAATGGTTTTCGAAGTGCTCAAAAACTGAGGTTTTTTTTCATCAGGTTAGACAACAATGCTTGGAGAAGGAAGTGCAAGCCGTGAAAGAATCTCTGGGGATGATGCGCGTGGAAAAACAGGGGCTCGAATTTTCTTTATACGAAACGCAGTCGGCTTTAACTCAGCTTGAAGCAAGAAAAGAACAGTTGGAAGGCGAGAATCAGACTTTGCTTTTGAAGCGCGAAGCATTGACGACGCAGATCAATCAGTTACGAAAAGATTCCGCGTTGGAAATTGAGAATTTGAAGCACGAACGAGATTCCTTGAGGGAGCAGATTGATCAAATTGTACGCGAAAATGCCAAGAAATTGAAAAATCTCGAAAAGGATCTTGAGGCGGAAGTCAGTCGCAAAGAGGAAGATAAGGTACAGTATACAGTATTCATTTTCTGAAGAATGATCTTCACGTTCGTAAATAAGTTGCAATCCGTAGGATCTATTCTCCTGCATCGTCGATTACGATGAGGAATCGTTTTTTTCTCGAGTAGGTGTCACTAGTAGTCATCTCACTCGAAGTTCGCGCTGTCATCCCAAGTTCCATCTACACTTGAGGGTCCTTTTTGTATCCGTCGTAGCCTAAAAAAAAATTGATTGGCAATGGGTACTTATATAATGGAGTACTCACCTGCGATAATTTTTCCCTGCTGAACTTTAAAACTTTCGTTGAATTTTCCCTGCGTATTCTTCCCCAGTTTCGATATACAGTATTTCTTCATGCGATTCACCCAATATGAGTATTGATACGGGAATTCTGAATCTTCCACTGCAAACAATATTTCAGAAAATCTGTACGTTCGTGATATCTCGAGGAAACTGTTTTTCAATATTTTTCCCGTTCACCCTCCAGAGCACTTCGGTGAAAAATCTTGAAAGAAAGCTGGCGGAAATGACCACGAAATTGATGAAATCAAAAGAGCAGGCCGTTGCGGAGAAGGAAGAAAGTATCTCGGACCTCCAACGCCAAGTTCATTTGATGCGTAGAGAACACGAGGAAGCCATGGTTTTGGCCGAAAACGATAAACAGCAAGCACTAATGCTGGGTAAGATTCTTTTCGTATATATCTCGTAGGAGATAATATTACTTTTCATTTTCAATTTAGTTCAACAGGAGCAGACAAGTTTGCAGGAGAAAATCGCCTCATTGAACAAAGAAATTCTGGAGTTGAGAAATGAAATTGACCGACTCCGAAGGGATGGATCCAATCGCTCGGAACACGATCGCTCAAATTATTACGTTCTTCAGGGACAATTGACCAAATTGAAGAACGAATTGCGTGACTCAGCGTAAGTCCGTTGGCTTCTAAATTTTTAAATCTAAATTAATTTCGGGTTTCTTCATTTTTTTTCAGAGCTTCTCACGAACACGTTTTGGCTGAAATAAAATCAGAATTGGAAGATGTCAAACGCTTGCGGGATAATGCCATGAGAGAAGTTGGTGAGTTGCGTGGAAGTTTGCACGTGGCTGAGGAACACAAGGCAAGACTTCAACGTGAGCTGAACGAGGCTCAGCGGAAGATAAAAGATGGTCAGTTTTTTTTTTTCTGCGCCCACTTTTTAGCTCATTTTCAATGTTAATTTTGCTTATTTCTCAATGAATCTTCAGTTGAGGCCGCCAAAGATCTTCAGCGTCGGGAAACTGATGAAGTTCGACGACTGCTGAACGAAGAAACTCATGAAAAGAATTCTCTGTCTGAGACGATCGGCGATCTGAGAGGAATGGTTAAGCGAGCGGAAAGTGAGAAGAATGAGGTTAAACGTGATCTCGACGAGGCGGAAAAAAGACTTGCCGGTTTGTTGTTCTGATTCTAAAATATCTGTCTGAGACGATCGGCGATCTGAGAGGAATGGTTAAGCGAGCGGAAAGTGAGAAGAATGAGGTTAAACGTGATCTCGACGAGGCGGAAAAAAGACTTGCCGGTTTGTTGTTCTGATTCTAAAATGCTTAAAATATTTGATCTCAACTTATCAAAATTTGAGATTGATATTACTGTACTTATTTTCCGTGTAGTTTTGGATGATGCAAAAGCCGCTGCTGAAAAAGAAATCAGGACTTTGCGTGACTCATTGCGGGAAGCCGAACGAACGCAAATTGAAACTACGCGAGAGGTTTCTGATTTAAAACGCCAGATTAAATCATTGGAATCTGAACTGCAAAACCGATCAGCATTGTTTGAAGAGCTGGAAGCGAAGCTGAAACGTGAGGAAGAAAGGGGGGATGAAAACCGCAGGGAATCGTTTGCTCTTCGACAAAAGGTAAACAGAAAACACGGGAACCATTCAGATTTCGTGGGGGGTAAAGACTTTTTCAATATCCTCCTGAACTTATCAAATTTATTGAAAAGATCATGGAAGTCGAGACTGAGCGGGATACAGCCATAAAAGAAGTGGCGAATGTGAACAAACGCTTGAACGATGTGGAAGATTCGAATGAAATGAGTCAGTCAGCTTTTCAAACTGCTCTGGAGGAATCGACCCTCAATGTTCGGAAATTGGAAGAGGAACGCAGAAATCTGGAAATTTGTCTCAACGACTCCACATCGCAGTTGCAAGAACTCAGGGTGAGCAAAAATTATTTGACTGATAAAAACAAAACCTTGTCTCACTTAATCCTGTCAAAATGATGCAGGATAACCGAACATAACTTGACGTAACGTAAGAAAATCAAGTGACATCCATGTTTTAAGAAGATAAGTTTTCTAGTTAGTTTTAGAAGAAACCGATTACATTTTCGTCTGAGTATTTCGTCCTTACTTGATAAATTCCTTGTAAATTACACATTATATAGTGAATAATGAAATTTTCAGGTGAAATTGAGTGGTGCAGAAAGCCGAGTTACTGCGTTGGATGCCCAAGTAACGCATTTGGAATCAGCCAAAAAAGACGTCGAAGGAAAGCTGACGGCCATTTATTCCTCGTTGCGTCGCGTTGCTGGAGTTCGTTTGGACGGTTCTGGCCATTCCTGGAGACCACCAAGTCCATTGAGACGTAAAGGACCCAACAAAGGTTAGAATGCCTAAACATTTTTCGAATTGAATTTTTAATGTTCCCGTGAGTACTAAAGTCTTCGTAATTTTACAGGATTTTCCGGCGACAGTTTCAATGACTCAGAAATACCACAGGCCAGAGTTTCATGGCAGCAAATTGACAGTGGAGTTGGTAGCGATAGACAAAGCATCGTTTCCGAAGTCGACCCTGAATTGGTTCGCAATGGACTGAAAGATTTGATGCAGCAAGTTGCCTCAATTGAAAAAGAAAGAGTGAGGAAATTTTCCGTTTTTTTGATGCTGCATATATTAGCTCAGGATTCACCGGAAGTACATCTTCAATTCCTTCAATTTTTCAGGATGATGCTCTGGCTCATTGCAATACACTTGAAAAAGAACTGAGTGACTTCAAGGAGAAGTGTGAAAACTGGACCACACAAGATGCATTGAAGCAGAAACAATTGGATGATTTGCTGGAAAAGAAACGCAGTCTGGAAGGACAATTGAACAACTTGCAAATTGCGCTGTCCGACAAGGTTCAAGATTTTCCCATATGTCATCTATATACTCTCTACATTTCTACAACATTCTTTCTTTTGAAGTGGTAAAACTTATTGAATTATGTTTTTCATTTTACAGGAAGACATAGTGAAAGCGAAAGATCGGGAAATTCGTCATGTTACAGAGAAGTTGAATGAGAAAAAGGATGAAATCAACAAATTCGAAACAGATCGCCACTCACTTGAGGTACTTACTCGTACATTCTTGTGATTTTTCGTGCCGACATATTTTATTACTTGGAAATTTCGTCGTTTTCAACAGGAAGAGCTGAGTAAGTTGAAGCAGTCTGAAGCTCGGCTGGAAAAAGAGAGACGTAACTTGATGGAATCCCTGGAAAATGCAACTGGACGAAGTACACGTGTGGAAGTTTCCAAAAGAGCCCTTGAAGGCGATGTTCAACGCTTGCAGAAAGCCTTGAATGACAAAGAAAGTGAAAACCAGGTTGGAAGAATTTATTTCTCTCTCGCTTTGTGAAGGCTAACTAATTTCTTAAACCAATCTTCTTTTTCTCAGCACTTGAAAGACAAATGCGATT